AACCTCTCGAAATGATGCTACACGACCAGGCGTCTCAAATAGTCTGTACTGAGGAAGCCCTACTCACTGCCTTCTCGTGGCGGAGGTATTTTCCCACCAAATTGAGAGAACGAGAAACCCACATCCGGGGCTATAGTTCAGTTCAGTTTGTACAACCATTAACCATGCACTTTTGTGCTTCGGTTTTGGTTGCTGTCTTTTGGCCTCCCTTTTGGATGAACAGTAGGAGCAAGACAAGAAGGTTGAAAGTAGAGTCGAATAGAAAATGGAAAAGTTCAGTGAACTAATGTTGCAAACAAATTGTGATGCACGAATGCCACTGTTTACGACACTCAGCCGTATCACTCAGTGTCTAACCATCGGTTATAATCATCGCGGTGTCCCCAACAAAGGAGCCTTACGGGACCTATATGACCCAGTCCCGTGGCTAAGGTTCTGATACCCTCGTGCTAAGTCTTAGCTTGACCACTGTTGGCTTTTTTCCACCCATTACGTCTCTTGGCAAACATCGCTCGCTGGGGATATAACCGGGTTGGCAGATCACTGGTAGTTCACCTAAGGGAGTTGACCAAAAACCCTGCTTCCAAACCAACCAAGCGGAAGCTTACGAACCACACACCCTCCCAGTTATGGTAGTGGTCACCAGCTGGATTGGATACCTTGGATGTTTGACCTTTTTCAAAGAGTGCATGATCTGATGGACTGGACGCCAAGCCCAATCGGTTGCTGTTTTTGCACGCCGCCCTGCTGCCTTGCGGATCAGGTTTTGGCTAGCCGAAGGCTCCGGTTGTGAATACTTCAAGAAAATTCACCTGAACAACCTGGCAGTATTCAGCCCACAAGCGAATCATGGAACGTTTTTCTTTTTTTATAAAGATTATTGTACTATGATTTGCTTGGCACACAGCCTGTCTTCAGTGTGAAAGATATATAGCAGGTTCTCGTGACTCCCCGTCTGCTGTACATCATACTAAAGTGTTATACAAAATGTTGTAAACAGTCTGGGACCTAATATGGAAATTTTTGTGTTAGTTTATCGTTTTCTATGGGCACTAGGCTTCAACAGGCAGGCCGCACAGCATTCGCTCCACTGAATTTTATTCTGGGCCATATCTTTTAGCATCTCTCACCAGCGACAATCCTCATCCCTTGGGCCCCAACCTGGAAGGCGGGCTGCATTAACCGAAGCCAAAGCTGAGGTCAGCTTCTTCATACCCCTACGTGATGTCATGTTCTGACCGCCGCGCCGCCTCTTCCAGCCTTGTCCGGCACGTGCAAAAGAGAGCAAGGAAGGGTAGTCGATGGCAGGCATACGCTATACGTAACCAAGACATCAAAGATAGTTTAGATCGATTACTTCTGTTAGCGAACTACTATACAAACCCAACATACGACGACAGACCTCGTCATTGCTCACCCGATGTTCCTACCAGACACGAGCAATGCTTTGGAGACAGGTGGTCGAATACAGAAAGCCGGCTAGCGTTTTCCGCTAAGAGAGGCCAGGCCTCGCAGCCGTAAAGCAGAACGCTACGAACCGCGGCGATGTGCACCCTTCTCTTAAGTGATAGTCGGATGTCATGGCGATGCCACAGGTATCGCAGGTTGGCGAAAGCTGCTCTAGCTTTCGCTATTCGTGATGTGATCTCGTCCCCAACACCACCACCACCATCTGCGATCAAGCTCCCGAGGTACTTAATGCTCTCAACCACTTCCAGCTGATCAGCACAGAGGGTAAGTGCAGGCAAAGGCTCCTGCCAGTCTTGAACAAGCATTTTACACTTTGGAGGTGCAAAACATATCATACCTGGATACTTCTATCGCCACTCGGTTCAAAGCGTGTTGGACTGCCTGTGTATTGTCATCCAGCAAGGTGATCTCATCGGCATATTCTAAGTCAGTGATTCTGTTCCTTGGTGGGAGTAGTTTGCTAGACCGGACAAGGCATTCTGTAGAATATTCTCTATGGCGAATTTGAAAAGGAATGGTGACAGGGCAGCCTTGTCGAACTCCACTGGAGACGGCGAAGGGTAGCCGAAGCTGGTCATAAGCCCTAATCCGGCCCGAAGTTAGACGATACAACTCTCTGGGGATCAACACTTACTTCTCAAGTACTCCATTCCTCAACACAGTTCCTCAGTGCGGTCCTATCGACAGAGTCGAATGCCACACGAATGTCCAAGAACATAATGATTGTCGGTCTTTCGTAGGCAGGACCTTGATCTGACAGCTGTGGGAGGGTGAAGATTTGATCGGTGCACCCACAACCGGTGCGAAACCCAGCCTGGTCCTCGCGGGTCTGCTCTTCACACATTGTGTATAATCGGCGGAGAATTACGGACGCCAACAGCTTCCACGCTATCGGAATAAGGCTTATACCCTTATGATTGGCGCAGACTGCGCGGGCCCTTTTTGAAGATTGGGACAACAATCGATTCCCTCCACGAACAGGGCCCCTGCTCAGTGTGGCAAACTTTAGAGAGCAGAACTTGCAGTTCTCTAACAAGTTTTATTCCCCTATCTATAAATAGAGCAGAGGGAGGGCTATCGGAGCACATCGCTTTGTGATGTCCCAAGGCTTGGATCTCCTTACGGAGTTGCGCTTCAAAAGGTGGGTTTATTGAGCCAGACCATGGGGCGTGTGCCGGAATAGCTGTATAAGAAGCCAACGTTGGTAGCCAGCTAAACTGTGCCTCACAGTGATCCGCCCAGCGTGCAAGACTTCGCTGTTGATTCTGAATGGGCAAACCGTCAGCTTCGCAGATCGTTTCGCTCATAACCAAGGCTTTCCTACCGATGACCCGGATGAGATAAAACAGGTTACGGGAGTTTCCCGTGGTGGAAGCAAGTTCCATCTCTGACGCGCGTTGAGTCCATCAGATTTCGCGGTGTCTGCGTAGGCTTGCGTTGAGGTTACTACTGGATGCGTGTCGTATTTCATTATGATCGGCGTGCGTCGAGAAGGCCTAGGGACTCCGCAGAAATCCAGGGTGTCGTAGTGCGATGTGTCAGACCACAACTAGCTAAACCAGTAGAATACAGAGAATTCTTGATAAACGAATGATTTTATCAGGTGGGGTTGGTTCTAGCTTTTCAGCTAACGCATTCTGAAAGACAGTTAGGCGTGCTTGTTCAGAAAACTTATCAGGGTCTAAGCGTCATTGTATCGTGCGTTTAGAACGCCAACCGAAGCACATAGACAGCTTGGCGCAAACTAATGTGGTCGGATTCGAGGGGAGTGCTCCAATACGATCGGCAGTCTTGTAAACAACCTCGCCATTTGTGGCTTATAGTTATGTGGTCGATATGCGTCCGTCTGACTCAAGGAGGGCGGACGCCAAGGGGCATACCTGAAGTTAGTACTGGCGAGGAATAGGCGGTGGTCGGAACACAGAGCCAACAGCCGTTCCCCGTTTTTCGAGCGAAAAGGATCTTGACCGAAAGGACCTCCCAGATGCGCCTCACTTGAAGTCAGCCGACCTACACTAGCATTTATATCTGCTAAAATCACGATATCAGCCCGACTCGCTTTACGTAAGAGGTTATACAGATTATGGCAAAATTCACCTTTGACTGCATTTGGGCTGTAGTCCGTTGAAGCGTACGCCGACACGGCAAACAAGTTTCGTCTATCGGGGCGACGGCTGCTTACTTTGCACGAATCTCTGAGTCTCACTGCGCATAGCCTACTGTCGACTGGGATNATCCAGGTGCACGGCTGTCTCACTGAGAGCCACGTTAACACCCTCAAGACCGGAAGCCGCAGCCTCAGGGTCCCCATAGAGGCGTAAATGAAACTTTACTGGTAGGTTTGGTGATGACGTCAATCGGATAATGGAGCTAGAGTCTTGAATGCGAGTCTCTTGGATACAACAAACATCAATAGCTATGTTCTCGAGCATACGAGATAAACCGGCTTGTTGTCCTATAGGCACCGGAGTGCGCACGTTAAGCGTGGCTAGTTTGAATGGGTGTCGGGGACGAAGAAGAACTTCCGTTGGTGGAGAATTCGGTGGGACTTGGGCAGTAGTTGAAGCAAGTCACAAGAGAACAGCGGTAGAATTTCCTTCTGAGACGCTACTGTTCGTACGATCGTTTGAAGAACCCTTTAGGTTTTGTCTGCATAAGAGTGAGAGGAGCGGAGTGGAGTCGAGTTCCGCTTTGAAGTGAACAGAAAATAAATATCGCTCAAGCTGAGGTTACCGGTTTTCTCAATTTCGTCGAGAAACTAACTCTCAAAACCTCAAACAGGTAAAATGCTTTATGCTGTTATATGCTATAATATGTTGAGTTAACTAGGAAAAAAATCAACTGACTGTCAACACCATCTTTGAACATCACTGAAGATGACAGTTGAACAAAATATGAATGGGCAATTCGGTTTCGCTCTGTTATGAGCTGGTGGGCATGGTTGGTTTTGAGTTGGTTGATTGGTGGTATACTCGCTTTGTATGCGATGGGTTCAGAGTTCAAAACCTGATCGGGATGGTGGACATGCATTTCTGGTGAACTCTAATCAGCCCGAAACTCGAGTCTAGTGCTTCTGAACCTATGATTGATTGGATTAACTGAGGATTATGCGTGAAGGTGAAGTCCGATGGATAGTCAGTTCAAATCGGTATTCATTCTCTTGGAAGCTGATTCCGGATTTAAAGCCTCTTCACACGCCCGTGTTACTCAGTGATTTTTGTTTTGGAGTCCTCGCCTGGAATTCCATGCATAATTAGTTCTTGAACTTGGGAGCCATCCTGGAAGTCGTATTTCAGGCAACATAACGAAGCCACGTTGATTAGTGTAAATCTATCAGTATTTTGATAAGAATACGTTTACGTCATGCTCAAGTCTGTTTCATTCACCAACCTCTTCATTACCGGAAATCGCATTTTTCTTCACGTCCGTTTTCAGGAAGTAAAAGTGCACAAAACACGTGGTTTTGAGTCTCCCAATATTATCCAGGGATTCCGAGCCGTCCAAATGAATATTGCTCTGAAAGCATCATCATGTCCTTATTGAGACATCTGGGAGTTATACATTTTCACCATCCACTGTCTCACGGTCTTTCGGCTCGTGCATGCTGCTCGACCTGGTTCGCAACTGGGCATGATAATCGATCAACAATTTTCCAGAAATGGACGTTCCCGAATCGGTTTCTCCATTCCTCTCTGAAATCGGATCGCATATTGCGATCAAGCACCCGTATCCCATTTTGCCCCCGACGAATTCAACACATTCGTCCTCCTTCGGATATTGGTCTGGGTGAGCTGTCAGATCCCAAAAAGGTATGTTATTTGGTTAATTTAGCGTCAGTAATTAAAATTGCCTCCATTCCGATAAGGTGGATAAGTAACTTTACTAAAACTGGTAAAATGTATTGATGGCTCGTTATCAAAGATAGATTTAAATTGGTTTCAGTATAATATAGGTAAGAAGTTTGAACCGCTGATATTATTGGTTACTAGTTTGATATGGTAGGCTATTATAAAAAATAATAAACATAAACAATGATAAATACTAATGAATAAGGTTTATTTTGCTGCTTTTCCCCATTTTATTAAATCTTTTCATTACTTTCGCTTCCCTCATCGACTGATGATTTGTCCGCCTTTCATATACAGCCCTTATCTGATTGGTCGATTGTCACCCGATTGTTTGGATATATATGGCCTAATGATCGACCAGAGATTCGATGGCGTGTTGTTGCCGCCCTGGGCCTATTATTCTCGTCAAAACTAGTCAACGTTTTAGTACCTTTTGTGTTCAAACATGCTGTGGATTGTTTTTCTGGCGACGTTCCGATACCGTTATCCAGTCTGGCACCATCCACTGCAGCTTTGACCATTCTTGCATGCTATGGTCTGTTTCGAGCCACTGCGTCTGGTCTGAACGAACTGCGCACTGCTGTGTTTGCTCGTGCCGCGCAATCCTCGATTCGTCAGGTTGGAGTGCAGGTTTTTAGGCACATGCATGATTTAGATCTATCCTATCACCTGGGTCGACGCACAGGTGCTCTCGGCAAAGCGATCGATCGCGGAGCACGTGGTATTCAATTCATTCTGACTGCCCTGGTGTTCAATTTGTTCCCAACAGGACTCGAGGTGGCCATGGTCACAGGAATACTGGTAAGTGCGTAGAAGGGTAACTCTTCATAAATTTGTTTCGCACTTTTTTTCCAGTGCCTAGTTAAGGACTGTAAAGTGTGCCATTCATTTTCATCCATTCACACATTTCTATGCATGCCACAAGACAATCACCTTTTCCCCAGTAGTCATTCAAGATATATATTTGTTCATCCCTTAGATGGTCCGTCATGTTATAGCAGATTTCTTCTTTTTCTCTATATGTTGTACTGGAGGTCTTTACCTTTTGCCTTACGAATTGAATTCGCAAACTCTCGTGACACACCGGGTGGTGTAATCATGATCGTGATTGTGATTATCACTCGATCCTAATATTTTCATGATTTAATCCAGAAAGGCTCTGTTCAATCCCTCCTCTGGTTCCTGTTTGCAATCTTGTTCCGTGATCACTTTGTTCCAACCACATCGTCACAACTGGTTTCCACTTTTCTGGAATGGCGTGATTTGTTTTGATTATTTCTCTTTCTGCCTTACTGTGGTCGCTGATCACAAATCAACGGACTATTTGGAAGCCTTTCTTCATTCTTATTTACTCCTTCGTACCAAGATTCGCGTGAAAGAAAAACAGTTTATGCATCTTCATTTAAGGGTTTCGTTTTTTCCTGTCGCAGTTTTCATTCCAAGGAGGCCTGTCCTCATACAGTAGACAGCTAGGATTGCAGTAAAAGTCTGCCCTTGACATGGACAACAAAAAATCCTCCGCAACAAGGACGCGAATAGTTCTACTTAAAACTAACTTATCCTATATTAAAAATACAACTCTGATACTGAGTCAATGCACTGTCGTGGTGGTGTTGGTGGTGCAGTGGTTTAGTCGCGGTCACCGGCGTGCTTTGGACCCTATGATTCGAGGTTCGATCACCGCCACCTCCACCCAACTTTGGTGATAGACATCTTTTCTATCGTCCGGTTCAATACCACGCCTAACCTACCGGGGCCTTATGTGGCTCACCACTCCACGTCCCGGAGCTTAGGTTACCGGTTTTCATCAATGAACAGCAGGTCTTCGTGATTATGGGGTTTAGCCCGTCTGCTGTATGTAATAAAAATAACTATCGGTATTTTGGCAACCCCGCTTATGTCTATTTTTTGTACACCGGTACTCCAGATTATACTCGGCTTAATAACGGCTTACCGATAGTCCTGTTCATCTTCATGCTACGTTTTACGACCCATTTTCTCTTCTCGTGGTACTTCTTCAAGCTCTCAGTTGGTCTTCGATTTTAGTAGGTCTGATTACTCATTTGGCAACCGATTTCGCTGTCCATGTTGTGAGTCACTGCTCACATTTGTGAGCAGTATGAAAAATAGTGCGGTTGGTGGTTTTCTTTAAAGGTCAAAGATTAACAAAACCACCGAGAGCAAATTACTGTGTCTCAAAGAATAACTACCGACTGCTACAGTCATTACCCGGTATGTTGCTGGGAACTGCGATGAGATGTTTCAAATGAGCTTTCTGTTATATGCATGCTAAATTAGTGATATCCCAACTGTAATATGCAATAAACAACTGCCCTTGACCGAGTACCTCCTTGTAGAATTATATCAACTGATGCCGTCGCCATGATCAAGATGAAGATTCCATGGCCTGAAGCCTTTGGGGATGCAGACGAGCGGATGTTCCTGGATGAGTTTGCGGACTTCGCGGAGCTGGCGGGGATACGGTCGGCCCGGGGTAAGTTGACGACCCTCCGAGCGTTTCTCAAGTGCCGTGCGCAGGTGGGGTTGGATACCTCACGAAGAGGTCCGGAGAAGATGGAGTAGGTCGCCGCGAAGGACGCTCTGATCGCGATTGGCACTTGCCAACTTGAGACATCTGTGGCGCCGTCGTGACATCCAGCTGTTTGCGAAGGGTTGAATATATGCTGCGGCACTTCGGCTAGTGCTGCTGTACGGTGCAGAGGCTTCACTATTACGAGAACAGGATAAAGATAGGCTGTCGGTGTTCTAACACTGGTGTCTACGCTGCATTGCACGAGTCTGGTGGGGCAACCGGACAAGCAGTGATGAGGTAAGGCACAGGTGATCGTGGTCACCCACTGGAGTAAATGGTCGACCTCCATAGATTACGCTGGTTGGGGCATGTGTTACGCATGTCACCAGATAGGTTGCCATAGCGAGCGATGTTCGCCGAAGCAGGTAGCGATTGGAAAAAGATCGAGGACCTGGCATGAGGGTATGAAAACCCTAACCAGGAGACTTGGTCACATAGATCCCGTTCGGCTCCCTGGCTGGGTATCCCGAGATGATGATCACCGATGGTTAAAGATATAGAGTGATATGGCTGGGTATTGCAAACAATTGCGCTCATGCATCTACTCATGGTTCTTGTAGTATCAGTCTATGTAAATTCGCTATATTGCGCCTGAATTTGCCCTCAACATTTTAGTCTTCATTCTGCTCTTTTGTTCCAATGGGCAACCAAAAGATAGCAACCAAAACAGGCACACGAAAGTGCATGGATAATGGTTGTAAGAACTGAACTGACTGAACTGATCGCGGCCGACCGCCAGTAGGCGTTGCGGAGCTTTAGGACGGCGCAGCTCGGAGTTGGCGTGGACTCCCTGTCGCATGCCGTGGCGCTGCACGCCCTGATGAATCGAGGGCTCCCAACGTTAGACGATGAGGTGCGATTCGGAATTACTGTTCAATAGTTTCATGGAGAGCCTGATGTAAGATTTGCGCGAGATTGCATGGATAATCAATGCGGAGAAGACCATGGATGTAGTCAAACTGGCGGATGTCCTGAGGGAGTTCACTTGGAAGAAATTCACTCCTGTCCAGTCAAGCGAAGGCCATAGATGCCAGTCTACAGGAGTTACGGCGACTCTCAAGGAACTAACGGAGGCGATGGTGGCCATCCGAACCGATTACGAACAGGAAGCTGTCAAGAACGGAACTCGTGAGCGTGAAGAGCCAGAGTGTTGGCAGGAAAATTGCCCCGAAACACAGCGCAAGTGGTCTGTGAGAGAACTCCTGATTTCGTTCAAATCGTTGTCTTCAGACAAGGTCCCCTCCGGAACGACTGATCGTTGTTTAGTCCAGACCCATATGTGGAGATGGGGGACCAGAAAGGGCCACATATGTTCGACACATGTGCCGCGGTTTATGTGGCGGAACTTCATTCAACTGAGTCAGTAGAACCCTCGAATACGGCAGTGAAGGCAGTTGGCGAACACGAGCCACAAGCTGACAGCGCAGCAAATCGAACTTTCTCCATTGAGAACACGACAGACAACCAAACGTTTACCAGACTGCACAACAAGGCGATTAGGAAGTTAAGAATGCCGGTGAAACGGAAACCAAGTGTACTTCTAAAAGTACCGGAAGCAGAGTAAAAAACACCATGTCGGAGGCTGTTTCGGCAACCCTGGATAGACGAAGTTACTCCCTAGGTGGCGAAGTTCATGTATAATACGGACAAAGAAGATTCCAATGAACGTGTTTCAGGAGATGACTGACAACAGGTGTGTGTATCAAAGTAAACCCGATAGATGGCTCGAGGACAAAAACCGTGCATCACAGAGTCTTCTCAAATCAAACTTCTAGTCGGATCTTCAAAAATCGCACAATAAACCAACCGAAATCCTCCACCGGAAACAGATTCGTCCAGATTTTCGGAAAAGGGACGTCATTTTTTGGCGCATGTTGAGTTAATTTTCACCGGGGGATTAGTGTCGTAAGGTACTGCTAAGGTTTGCGAGTGGTATACAAAATAGTGCGGTTGGTGGTTTTCTTTAACGATCAAAAATTAACAAAACCACTGAGGCCGAATTACGGTGCCTCAAAGAAGAACTACGGACTACTCCATTTATTACCCTGTGTGCTGCCGGGAATTGTGGTGACCTGTTTCAAATGAGATATCGGTTGTATGTATGCCAAATTATTGATATCCTAACTAAAATCTGCAATGAACAACTGTCTTCGACCAGACACCGCCTTGTGGAATTATAACATCACTAGCTGCTGATTTCTGCAATCTGTATAATGCGTTTCGTTTTGTGAACGGCATTTTGTTCATGGTGGTCTGCTTTGAGATAAACCCGGTTAGAACGAAGCTCTATTCTCTTGCACCAACTACCATCAAGCGCATTTTACCAATGAATGAATAACCAATCAAAATTGTTTTCTTGCTTATTTATTCATTTATTAGCAAAAAGGCCTTAAAACAACGACTCTGGTGGAGCGTTTTCCAAGCCAAGTGGCGCGCCGTAGTGCATAAAGATCAGTCTTAAGTGCACGTCTGGGGCCCAGTGGGTTTCCGTTCGTTCCATGCAACTGCGAGACCTTTCCGTCACATACCGATGATATTCGTGAGCTCCTGTCATCGGGTAACCGGTGTCGAATATGAATTGCACTAATTAAGCAAAGTTTCCGGTATAGTATAGTAGTATAGTATAGTAGTGTGACGTTGATCCTACAACACAAAACATGTACAAGTGGTTGTTCATCCTCGTTGTGTTTTCGGACCATGTGCAGATGACGAACTGGCAAAACCCCGAGATCTTCGTGGGTCTGAACCACTACATTGGGTTGAAAGGTACACGGAAATTTCGGAGAATGAAAATGTCACTAGGTTATCATTTTGGATCGTCTTTGAATAGTTTATAGCATGTCGGTGCCTCCGGCGTTGGATAGCACTAAATGTCGCCATTTCAATCTCATCTCACTAATTCGGATTAATGGAGCACTCCGGTACTTTTGAGCAAATTTTTCATGGAAAAAAGTCAAATTAATTTTGTGTACGTTTAATCTCGGTCCAGGTGTTATAAATCCACAGGGCATTGCCGGGAGGAGGTAAAAACGACAGGAGCATGGGTGAATTGAGTTACACATACTGAAGCGTTTTATCGGAAACGGAGTAATCTTACTTTGAACAAACGCTCATGATCATTGGTCAAACAGATCAAAAGTGTTTGCATCTTCCTTAGCTACATTTTTGAAAATAAACTTATTCACTCCAGGAGGTCTTGTTCATTTTTGAACGCACGTTCCAAACATAGCACTCACAAATGGGAGTAGTAGCTCACAACATGGGTAGCTCATTCAATGTTAACCGTAACGAGTATCTCGTGCGAACAGATTCCAATATGCCCTAAAGTCTATGTACAGATAACAAACTTTAGTATTTCATCACGTGTTTGAAATGATGGTGGTTTAGTTCTGATTGAATATGGGCAGAATTCTCAATATGCAATTTCGTTCTTATTTATCAAAACGTGCAAGTTAAGAGTGAGACCGAACCCGGTGGTCCGCACGCGGAAGCAGCTGATGATCAGTCTCCTATGGTCCTTGTGATATAATTTTGATTCTCTGCTCTCTCTCATCGCGTACACACACATACACACACACACACACTTGCAATAATGATCCTAGAAAACCGTTTTGTTTTACACAATGCCGCGTCGCTGTATTAGCAGTTGTTCAATCACCTGACCTTGTGTCACTATTTTTACTCTGTTTCAGTAAAAAACAGTTGCGTTCAACCCTGGGAAATGATTCACACATATGTTGATAAAATACACTTGCCAAGGATCCGTTCGTCTGTATTTTGGAGGAATTTCGTTATTTGTCTATTCATCTACTTTTCAGTACTATAAATACGGCCTACCGGCTAGTATGGTCGCGTTGACATGCATTGCCGCATACACCTCATACACGTTCGCTGTGACTCGCTGGCGCACACAATTTCGTGTTGAGATGAATCAGGCCGATAGCCGAGCCGGGAGTCAGGCAACAGATTCTTTGATCAATTACGAAACGGTTAAGGTATATACTGTGCTTTGTGTTTGTATGTACTATATTCCGTTATTTACACTGTTTATCAACCACGTGCATTCGTTTGTTTATTGAGACACCTTGTTTGCACTGGTCGATTTGTGTGATATTCGTGAGCAATGGATCACTGCTGATCAGAATCATAGGGTAAACTGTCAATTTGTTTTTCATTCTAAACTTATCACCCAAATTAATACATGTGAAATTAGCTCATACAATGACCCGTATATGAATTTCGACTTCTGCGACTGCTTTTGGTCTACTGGTTACTGCTAACTGCGCCCATTACAGGGCCCTTAAGCCTTATCCCAGTAGCGTCAAAGCTGTTGGCTTCCGTCAATACGCGTGAAGAGCAGACCGGCGAGCAGTAGGCTTGGTTTCGTGCCGATCATGGATGTATCGATCAAATCTTCACCCTCCAACTATTGCTTGAACACCTTCATGCCTCTCAGAGACTAACGACCATTGTGTTCTCAGGTGTCCGGGTGAACTTTGATTCTGTCTATAGGACCGCACTATGGAACTGTTCGTTGAGAAATGAAGTACCTGAGAAGTATTCATCGATCTTCGTGTCGGATTAGAACCTTTGGTCAGCTTTCATCACCCTTCATCTCCAGTGTAAAGCGGCAGGTTTGTCCAATATTTCCATTCCGCTTCAGCTTTGCCATAGAGGACTTTCAGCAGTGTTTTGTCCGGCCCAGCAAACGATGAATTTGAACCCCGTCCAGGTAACAGAGTTCTTGCCTCATGATATGCTGATAACAACACTACAAGAATGCCCCAAGGAGAGGCGACCCTCTTCCGATAATGGACGACACTCCCCGTCACCTCAAATACTCTAACTGCCTACTGCCAAAGTTAATTGAGGATGATGAAATTCGAGCCCGTGTTCTTGTGGCCTCTAGCACAACAGTGATCGTGATATAAATCGCTTGCTTACTTGGAATTCCATGTCCACTAAACAAACAAGCGTAATCAGAAAATCAGGGAAACATTGTGCATCTATTTAAACTTTATTAAGCATCATCACTGTTACGAACTCACGAACCTAACTAAGGATCAAACCTCATAAAGATAGTATTAACGTGTGATAAAGGTTCAGGGTAATGCTTTGTACGAACGAATGCTTCCTTTCGGCGTCAGCTTGCCTAACATTCGCTTACACGCCGCTTTTGCAGACAAAGTTTGGTGATCGTTTCTGACTGCTTTCTTATTAACTTTTCTGCACTGTTCTTTTGACACTCGTGTTTTGTACTATTTTTTTCCGGTTTGTTTTCGATGTTTGCCATCTTTGTTCATATTCACCGTAGTTTTTCCCCCAATAGAATGATATTCACATGCACTCTTAGCAGAACGCACTTCAGCTGTTAACTCATCTTCCACACAATCTGTCTCGCTCAATTCCAGTACTTCAATAACGAGGACCATGAGACCGCTATTTACGATCATCTCCAGTCACAATACGAGCGTGCGAGTATCAAAACCACGACAAGTTTAGCTTTACTGAATTTCGGTCAAGCCGCCATTTTTTCAGCTGGACTTGCCGCGGCAATGATAATTGTCGGAAGTCAAGTGGCGATCTCCACCGGAGGTGATCTTCCCGCGGTGGTTTCCATGCTCGGTAGTGCGGCTACCAGTGTGTCTGAGGGATTGACAATCGGAGATCTAGTCCTGGTGAACGGTTTACTGTTTCAATTGTCGGTACCACTAAACTTTTTGGGCACAATGTATCGAGAAGTGCGCCAGTCCCTGATCGACATGTCCACAATGTTCTCATTGATGGAACTCAAACCAGCAGTCCGAGTAAGTCCATTTGTCCATCCCCAATCTACCGGAAATGTTTTCCTGACTATCGTGTGTTAGTTTAGTCGATTTGAGGTAATCAGTTATCATATGCTGAATTTCCTCGTGTGCACCTAAGCAATGTGAACTGTTTTCGTATATTCATCTAATTCATAAATGCCGTTGATTTTTCATGTTACGTTCATTCTTCTATGCCGAATGCATTGCGTTCCGCTTCACCACATGTGATCTGTTTGCGCACTGGCACAGAGCTTGGAAACAAGCGGTTCAACCAAGAACCAACACGAATCATTTTCCCACCGATAACATCCTCTTTGTTTCGCGGGTTGATGATTTCTCTGTGTGCAAAGTGCATTATTCGTGAATAATTTATTAGACATTTAAAATTGACGTTTTGATGTAAAAATAACTCCAAGTATTTCTTTTACATTTAGGGTGACAAGTATTTTCTTTAACGGATCACGTATCTGAGCCGTTAGCTTTTCTTTTCCAAAGGATGTTTGACGCAACCGTACTGCCCCAGTCGTGGAAACAAGGCATAATTTCTCCAATTTACAAAGGCGGCTGTTAACTACCGTCCGGTGACACTCCCAGCTGTTCTATCCAAAGTCATGGAATCCATCGTAGCAGATTTCTTGATGGAACATTTGGAGAAATACGACCTTCTTTCTCCAGTTCAGCATGGGTTTCGTCGAAAGAGATCATGTACTACCAATCTACTCCTGGCCCACAATGAATGAACAAAGGCAATAGGCAAAGGCGATGCAGTTGATGTGGTTTACCTGGATTTCTCTAAAGCGTTCGATCGGGTTAACGATGAAATAATGCTCCGTAAACTGTACAATTTTGGTATCAGAGATCTCGCGCTTTATTGGATTGCTGCGTTTCTCCAACAACGAACCATGTCGGTTCGAGTCTCTAATTCACTGTCCTATCGCAGGTTTTCGCGGAGTCCCCCAGGGTTCTGGGCTTGGTCCTCAACTTTTTCTCTTGTTCATATACGACCTACCGAATGTCCTAGGATCACAAACATTATCGTTTGCAGACGACGTCAAAATCTGGAAGACAGTGACAGAAAGTGGGGGTTCGCTGGAACTTCAAGAAACACTGAATGCAGCTCACAAATGGTCTATTGAGAACGACATCCCATTTAACGTCTCCAAATGCAAGGTGATTTCGCTATGACACCATTGGTGGTTTCCTTGTTTCCTCGGGAACGAATTACTGCCGCATGCATCAACAGGGAAGGACTTGGGTGT